TGTGTGTGTGTGTGTGTGTGTGTGTGTGTGTGTGTGTGTGTGTGTGTGTGTGTGTGTGTGTGTGTGTGTGTGTGTGTGTGTGTGTGTGTGTGTGTGTGTGTGTGTGTGTGTGTGTGTGTGTGTGTACAACTTGGAGGCGTCAAGCCAAAGGAACCTAAACATCTTAATGCCGGTCGTACGTCTGTCGTGGTCCACGTTGGACTTGAACGAGAACCAAGTCCCGATTGCTGAAATGCTCGAGCATCGGGCTATGAAAGCTTTCAATTCCAAGAGACAATTACACGCCATGTCAGAAACCACAAGGATTCTGTTGAAGCTCATTTATTTTTCCTGACAATCTCGACCTCGTTCTGTCAACAGTGTGCTTTCGAGAACCGGTCACCTTTTCACAGGTCTAGAAAAAAACATGCGCACTTCAGAAGGACCTCTCATTTTTCCATCGTCTGCATTAAATACATGTTGCATCAACGAGTCCCAAGTAGCTAATTCCATCATCTGACCCAGCGTGTTCGCATCTAAAGCGTGGGTCCCTCATGTACCTGTATCAGGCTGTATCATCTAGTGCCCTGGTGTACAAAGTTTCATCAAATCGTTCAAACCCTTTTCCTAGAAGATAGGCTCGAAAGGCAAGGGGTGTTTTTCTCGTTTTCATTCCAAACCGTGATTTTACCAAACGCCCGCCTTGCCCGTTACGTAGCCTGTGACCCCGTGTCGTTTGTTCCATCCGTCTCGTAGATCCACATTACTCCTCATCTTCCTCGGTATCATCCTTGGACGAAGCCTTGGCCTTCTCATTCTCCTTCTCAGCCTCAGCCTCAGCCGCAGCCGCAGCCATGGCCATCTCGGCCTCTTCGTCCTCGTCAACGTCAATCGTCTTGGTGGCCTTGGTCTCCGGCGGCGCAACAACCTTGGCCTCGACCTTCTTCGTCGCCCCGCTCAAGTCCCAGTCGATCTCGGCGCCAGCGCCGTACCGGGTGACGAGCCACTCGTTTGCCTTTTTGAAGTGCCCGCAGTCAAAGAACCCCCTCGACGCGCTGAGCGGGCTCGGGTGCACGCTCTTGAGGACAAGGTGCTTCTTGGCGTCGACCTTGACGACGCGTTTGCCGGCGGGGGTGCCCCAGGCCATGAAGACGACGCCGCGCGAGCGCTTGGCGGCGACGAGGTCGATAACCTTTTGCGTGAAGCGCTCCCAGCCGCGATTGGCGTGGGAGTTTGCCTCGTGGGCCCGCACCGTCAGGCACGTGTTGAGGAGGAGGACGCCGCGGTCGGCCCAGGGGGTCAAGAGGCCGCCCTTGTTCGGGGGCGGGGAGAAGGAAGGGTAGTCCTTCTTTAGGGCGATGTACATGTTCTTGAGGGAGGGGGGCGCCGGGGTGGGCGGGCGGACGGAGAAGGCGAGGCCGTGGGCTTGGTTTACGTTGTGGTAGGGGTCTTGGCCGAGGATGACGACCTTGACTGTGTTGAAAGGGGTGTGACGGGACCTGGTAAAAGCTTACGGTTAGAAAAGGATGACTTTTGCTGAGGGTTCACGATGCAAGAATCAGAGTGGGACATACCAAGAGTACACATCCTCTTTGGGGGGGAACCACTTCTTCCCGGCATCTGACTCCCTGTTCAGGAAGCGCTTGAGGTCCAGAAACTCCTTGCTGGTGACCTCGTCCTTGAGAAGGGCCAGCCAGCTCTCGTGAAGCGAGCTGATCTCGAGCTGCAGCAGCTCCTTCTGCTCGGCCGTCAGTCCGGCAACCCACTTGGCCTTGTCGAACTTGACCGCAGGCGCCTCGGGACCGGCTGCAGCACCGGCGGCACCTGCTGCGGTGGAACCAGCTCCTTTATTGCCGGCCGCCGGCTTCGGGGCCCCAAAGAAGGACATAATGCTCCCATCTTGCTTGGGCTTCTTGCTGTCGGAGGCGGACAGCGTGCCGGCCTTGCGCTTGAGTGTGGACATGCTGGCGTGTGGAGAGGGCAGGCTGTACGAGAGGGAGACGATGACGTTGGCAGGCCGTTGACCTGGCCGCGGACGTAGAACGGCGTAGGTTGCTGCCCTGGCGAGGCGTAGAGGACCAATTGTGATGGGGAGTTGTGGATCAGACAAGAAAATTCAAATCGTCATAAAGCTGGTACAGAATTCAGATTTGGGTCGATCTTGTTCACGTTAAATGGGTGTAATACAATGGGCTAACAAAGAGGTTTGGAGTGGGGGAAGAAGAGAGACTGAATACGGAGTGTAGTCAAGAATGAGATTTCTCTTAGCCCTCCATTGGCCTTAAAGCTCGAACACCCAGTCTGCGGACCGTCGCGTGGTGACGCGCTACCAATTGGAAAAAGTCATTAACGCGAGTTGATTGACCCGCTGTTCTGGCGCGTTCTGAAGGCTTTTAGTGGCTGGTAGGGGCCGGGGAGCTGCCTGGGAGCTGCAGCCCTGCAGCGGCCCCGGCTGCTTAGCGGTTCCAACTGCCCCTGAGAGCTCCCGTCGGCTATTTGGGACGAAGTGGTGACTTCATCAAGATCTCTTTGGCTTACCTTAAGGTAGGTAGGTAGGTACCTTACCTTACCTCAAGGTTAATACCAGTCCATTATTGGGCAATGCATCCTGTCACCACGAGGTTGGGATCAGCTATGACTGAAGTATGACATGAAAGTAAAACCACCTTGTGGACGAGGTATCATTACACTTCAACTAGAATTACACGATTTTTTGTTTTCCCCAATGTTTAAACCAACCGCGACGTATGCCGCTCGGCATGCAAACTCCAGGCCCGGGTTCTTTTCCTTCCCGTCGTCAATAGATAGCAGCCCGCTGAACGCCCAATAATGCTGGAAATGGAATGAGTAGTGATGATGCTCCAATATTAGTCCGCGTCCCTCCTAGACTTCTCGTTCACGCCCCTGAATACCCGCTTTCCGACTTCGTAACTGCTGATCATGATGGCGCACGCCGGTGCCACCTTGAGCGTTCTGGGGATCCATCCTTTCCATAGGCCGCCAATTCCCTCCGTCGTGAAAATATGCCAGAGCAGGCGCACCATAGAGCCCTGTTCAGCGGCAGCGGCCTTGGCCGCGTTGGCCTCGCCTGCTTGACGGGGCGCTTCTCTGTACACTTGCGTCCTGGTCTTGCCCACGTCAAACGGCATCGTCACTATCGATGCGAATCCGCCAGAGACGGCACCGGCAATGAAGCTGTCCGTCATGGTTTCCGTGTGGTTTTCGTGGCTCTGAGACCGGCGGCGCGATTGGGTTCGTGAGCCTCTAGTATCCAAAGTCCGGCCGCGGCGGGTCTCTCGAAAATCTGTCAATCTACCCCGGATCGTCTCGTATCCCCACCAGTACAGGCCTGAGAAGGGCACATCCCTCCACAGTGTCAAGGTCAGGCCCCTCCACAGAGAAGTATACCCGCTGCTGTGGACCATATCCTTGATGTCGCGGAACGTGTTTGCGAGATGGCCAGTCGTAGAGTTGCCGGCCGACGCTTGCATTCTTGTACGGAAGAGCTCGATCGGGCTGACGGCAGCTGCGGCCAGAACGCGAGCCGCGGAACCGGCAATCAACGGGGCGGTGTCGTCGTTGAGCCTTTGCGCGATTGGACTCTTTCTGTTGTATCTCATCCAGTCGTAGCCAGTAAAGTAGATGATGTTTCCCGGGATCGTCATTAGCAATGTCGGAGACAAACCCCTCCATAGACTAGTGAATCCTTCATTTCGCGCAATCTTCTTCAGACCGTCCATGGTAGAGCTGATTGTCTTGCGCTCAACCTCCTCGACAGAGCATGCAGCAGCAGCAGATGCTCCCGCGCCCTCTGCCGCTCTCGGCATCGCGAGACATAGTTCGGAGTTGTTGTTCATGAAGAAGACCTCCCGGCAGCATGCGGTGACTCCGAGGTTTGATGTGTTGAAAGTCTTGAGTGTGTCGGTCGTCATGGCCAACCGTGAGAAGTCTACCGTCGGCGGAGTGACATTTTGCGACTGCCATCGGATTCGGACAACGTCGAGGGGCGTCACTGCGCATGCATGTCAGCGTATGGGAAGCTCATATCTCATTTCGCGCCATAGTTGGCTTACCGAGAAGCGATGTCAAAAGACTGCCCGACATGGCCGAGATCATCTTCTGCGGCGCCGTAATATCATCGTCGCTTCTTCCGCTACCGTTGTTCGGGGGCTGAGCTATTCGCGCCATCGGGAAGGAGTCATCGGGGTCGAATCTATCGTGGTCCTGGCCTCGGTTGGCCTGGTGGATGGTAGTCATTGCGGACCAGCTTGCATCGTCGGGGAAGTCGGAGCTTGGGAAAGATGGTGCGGTCATCCGGTCGGTAGGAATGCGGTGCAGTAAGAAGCTGGCCAAAGTGGAAGATGACGAACGGTTCGACGGATGAGGGGGTGAGGAAAAGGTATAAGCTTTCACGAAGTCGAAAAAAGAGGCAGGGTGAGAATTAATTAGCCTTACCCCGTTCGCTAGACCGGGAGAGTCGCCTCGTCATGACTGCGAAATCGGGTGCGCGCTCCGACTCTGGTCCCTTCCATTTCTCCCCCCAAAAATTTGCCGGAGATAATGAAATGGGTGGCGCCGGGGCACCTTGCTGGCCGAGCCGAGCCCAAACCGTTTAAGGTGATGTCACGGACCGACCCTCTGACCCAATTGGTTGGAACTCTGGTGGATCCATCGGTGCGCCACAAAATGTCACCGATAAGCACCAGGCACGGTGGACCTCAGGTGGCACCTCACACGCCGTCTGACTCCAGTTCGGCGTGCTTTCCGTGCCTGCTTACAGCAGCATTGTCGATGATGAGTGGTCGACTTTAACTACATCTCATACTGCAGCTTCGATCCTTTAAGATATTCGGAATTTTGAAATCACCAAACAACGCCATCACTCACCTCGATTGTCAAAGAAATAATCAATGTCACTGTCATAGCGCTTCCCCAGCTTCGCAGGCTCATAATTTTTGAGCATCATAGCTATCAGACATGGCAGGCGAACCTCCACAGCTCGATTCCGAGCTGGAGTCTTTTCGGCAGCAATGGCAGACTGAGCTGAAGCACAAAAAAGTAGTCCCGGAAGCTCGAGCACCTCAGTCGAAAAGGGAGGCATCTTCGTCATCCAAGCAATCGGTACCTACAGAGATTCCCAAAAGCATAGTTGCCAAGAGGTCTCAAATAGAAGAGGATGAGGAATACGCACAATCTCTCGTTTTCGATGAACCAGCACCGCCCGCTTCCGGTCCGACCCTGGATGGCCAGTCTGATCCCAACAAGGCCAGAGAACTGGTATCTGCCCTGGATCACTTTGAAGAAGCTGTGGAAAAGGAGGCAATCGGCAGCTTAGGGGACAGTCTCAAGTTGTATCGCAAGGCATTCAGAGTGAGCAGCCAGTGCTTTCCTAATACGTCTCTTCCACTATCATCATGCTGAAGCTTCCTTTGTAGATGGATAATAGAGTCGACCTGGCGTACCGGAAGAAGCACTTCCCCGCCGGTGCCGCGAAAGCGCCACAGCCCTCAGCATCTGGCCCTGCCGCCGCCGCCACAACCACAGCAAGCAAGCCAGTAGAGACGCAGACCATGAGCGAGCTGATTGCCGGCTTCTCAGGTCTCGCCGTATCGGCCGCGCCCCCGCCGGTGGAAGGTGACCCGGCGCCGCCCTGCCCCATTGCCGGCATGCCCGAGGAGATCCTCGTCCACATCTTCAAAGACGTGGCCGTCCTCGACGTCGGTGACTTTGTACGGCTGTCCCTCATCTGCAAACGCTTCGCCTACGTCGTCGCCACGGAGCAGCAGATCTGGCGCCGTGTCGCCCTCGGCCCAGAATTCGGCTTCGCTGGCATGCACTACCACTGGCAACGCGGCGTCTCCTGGGAACCGCTGGAGGAAGAGGAAGACAATAGCGGCGACCTCGACTACGTAACCATGGAGGAGCTCGCGCGGCGCCGCAGGGAAGAGGGCGAGACCACAACCCTCGCCCTCCTCCCGGAACTCTACGACTCGTCCTGGCGGAAAATGTTCCGCCACAGGCCGCGGATCCGCTTCAACGGATGCTACATCAGCACCGTGAACTACATCCGACCGGGCCAGGCCAACGCTAACCAAATCACCTGGAACAGCCCCGTCCACATTGTGACCTACTACCGCTACCTCCGCTTCTTCCGCGACGGCACCGCCATCAGCCTGCTTACCACCGACGAGCCCGCCCACGTCGTGCACTACATGACAAAGGACCTGCTCGAGCTACACCGGCGCAACAGCGGCGGCGGCACGGCGCATCTGCCGTCCGTCGTCATGCAGCACGGCCTCCGCGGGCGGTGGCGGCTGTCCTCGGCGCTCGATCACCCGGACAGGCCCCTCGGCGAGGTCGAGGGCGACGTGGCCGTCGAGACGGAGGGGGTCGGGGCAAAGTACACGTACAGGATGTATCTAGAGATGCGCAACGCCGGCAAGGGCGGCGCGCGCAACACCAAGCTCGTCTGGAAGGGCTTTTACAGCTACAACAAGCTGACGGACGACCTGGGCGAGTTTGCGTTGAAGAATGACAAGCCCTTCTTCTTTAGTAGAGTGAAGAGCTACGGCGTCGGGGAGTGACGTCTTTTGCATTTTCCCGGGGCTTGAATAGATAAGAGGGATAGAAACCTAAAGGCCGAATTCCCGGTCTTCCCATGTACTTTCCTTGTGAGCACCAAACTCTTTCTACTGAAAGACCGCCAGTGATGTTCTTGACAAATCCGTGCTCCCCGCAACATCCTCCCAAGCCCTCAACCCCTCCAAAACACCCACACACTTATCCCGAATCTTCTCCCATCCGTCGCTCCCCAACGCGACCCTCAACGGCACCTCTCTACTACTACCACCACCGACCCCGTTTCCGTCCTTTACCATCCCGTCACCCCGCACCAGCTCCGTGATCCTCGCTACAGCCTTCTCCGGGTCCCCCGGCTCCGTCCCCGGAAGCGCCTCGGCGCCCGCTCTAATCGCAGCGTTCAATCCCGCAAACTCGGGAATGCGGGCGGGCACGTTGGATATCTTGTTGAAAACCTTCGTGCGGAAGAAGCCCGGTAGCCCGGTTCGATGATGATGACTTTTATGTTTGGAGCGAGGATGGACAGTTCCTTGGAGAGAGTCTCAACGGCGCCTTTTTGTAGTGTTAGCTTTTCCCTTTGCTCTTCTTCGTTTTCCTGTTTTAAGGGAAAGGCGGAGCAGAAGAAGAAGAAGAAGACATCATAGACGATACCAAGCTCAAGAAAAAACAGACTGCTGTTCAGAGTGTACACGGTGTAAGTGAGGGAGCTGTCAAAAGACAATTCTTCGAGCGCAAATTTACTGGCGCTATACGCCCCGGCACCAACTTCAACGTGCCACGCCGCCTGCGAACTGATATAAACCAGCGTCCCCGTTCCCTTCTCCCTCATCATCGGCAGGAATGCGCGCGTAATGTTGAGCGGACCGTGAAAGTTTGTCCTGAAGCTCGCTTCCATGTCCTGTTGTCTACCCTCGTTCGTCCATATTGCCAGCGACTCTAGAAAGAGAGAAGAAAAAAACGAAACGTGTATAGGGGGATATTAAAGGGGTAGGTGAAACTCACGTCAACTCCTCCACAAGCCCAGAGACGATATACCCAGCATTATTCACAACAACATCGACCCCTCCCTCAAAATACCCCCACGCCTTAGCCGCTTTAGCCCGAATCTCCGCCTCAGACGCCGCTGCCTCTCCCGCTCCCTTTCCCGTTTCCGTTCCTGTCGTCGTCGTCGTCGTATCTCGCAGATGCGCAAGCCTAGCCTCCGCCCCGCCACGGCCCGTGGCAATGACATTATCCCCCTCCGCCAGCAGCTTCCGCACGAGGGCCTCGCCGAAACCGCTCGTGCAGCCCGTGATGAACCATGTTTTAGATGATGGCGTTGTCATGCGGGTGGGGAATCTACCGATTCTTCTTCTTGTTTGCTGTTTGTAGACGAGCAAAAGCAGGAGGGTGATGATGATGATGAGATTGAGGGTAAGTAGATAGACTAACAGTTCAAGAGATGTCAAAGACCAGGGCTAGCATATTCCTTAGTCTCGTAGGACCTCGTCGTGGCTCTCTATACTATTTGATACAAGGACATAAACCGGATCCCACCCAGTCTTGGCTGTACAGAAACCGTCGTACGAAGTTAACGAAAACGAGCAATCTAGGATCTGCGGATCGATCGGAGCTCTACCCACGAGAAACCGACCTAGAAAGCACTTGGCCAATCGTACAAGGATGTTAGCCTTATGGCATAGGGCGTACACAAGGGCGTAGACCGCAGTAAACAGGTGTGGCATGCCACAACATTGCGGGGTGATGCTTTCATTTAGAGTTGGGTTGAGGTTTGGCCCGCTATTTCGTCTTGGATCCTCGTAGAATCGTATATTACTGCCCTCCATCGGGCGTATAAAAATAAGTTTGGCTTGAAAATGCATCGGGAAAATGGTAAGTCGCTACATGAATGACTAAAACGCCTCGACGCCTGGCAGGGCACTAATGCTAATTTCCTCCCTTCGCAAGGTTGCGAGTATCTGTTCCAAATAACATAAAATAACGAGGAGATGGTTATATGCTCACGGAAACCCCGTAAGCCAAAAATGTACATCGCAAAGCATGTATCAACAGTGGTTGTTGAGTAGCATGATTACTATGATGTAATATCAAGAAATGGTCGCCCGAGGGTATCATATCGCACTTTTTCTGCCTAATACTGGGCGTGAGTCGCAAATTGGCGAACTTGAACAGTGCTCCATCCTCGGCATGGTTCTCAGTCTTACAGACGACGGGCCACATGTATGTCTTTTCGGGGCTTCAGCCGATGACAACCTTCTTTGACACCACCGACTTATTGTTGACGATATACGCTGCCTCCTTGGCGATAGACGCTGTCTGCAGTACGTGGCGGTGCCACTCTTTTGCCGTCTAAGAACTTGGGGCTTCTGCCGTCGTAGTACATATTGGGCGTTTGCTGCTGCCTCCGCGCTTCGTATGCTCGTTGCTCTTCTTCATCGAGCGAAAATGCCTTTTTCAGCCAGCCAAAAGCGCTGCGTTTTTTCTTCAATCGTTTTTCTCCGCTTGCCGTCATCTGAGAGTCGTAGGTCATGGTTGTGACGTTGCTCAACATGCTTGCGCCTCCTAGACGGGACGGTGCGTTCCTCTGGTGGGTGGGATAGTACCCAGACTGGTGACCATAAGGAGATCTGGGCTGCGCACCAGCAGTGAGCGGCCTTTGCTGTAGTGGGGAGTGTGGACTCGCTTGCACCGGGCGGTAATATTGGTGCTCCGACCTTGGAGAAGGTAGCACCGGCGGCTGCTGTACAGGCGGAGAGAGCTCGTTCGCTGCATGGTAACGCTGCCGCTGGTCATAGTCAGAACCATAGGCGGAATCTGGAGCCTGGCGCTCCCGAGGAGACTCTCGCGCAGTGTGATGAAGGTCCGATGACGGGGGTGGAATTTGGATTGACTCTGGAGGAGTCGTCTTCAAAGAGACTCTCTGGCGAAGCGAAGTCTTTTTCGTTGGGAGAGGCGCCTCGCGCTGGGGCTGATATCTGCTTGATGATTCGGTCGGGGCGGGTGAAGGCATGCGTTCCTCTGGTGGCTGTGGGGTGTATGTCCTTGGCTGGAGTATATATAGCGGTCCGTCGTCCAGAGTCACCTCCACCTCCTCCTCAGCGCTGACTGGCTCAGTTATTGGGCCGTCGGGAGTCTCCAGAGTGAGCTTCGGCGCGATAGAATGCGAGCTCTGATTTGTGCGGGTGGTATGGCTTGTACGAGCCGTCTCGTGAGAGTGATTGGTGTTATGAGAGAGTGTGGTTTTATGAGACTTGGTGGTCGTTTGTGAGTGAATCGTGTTGTGGGAGTGAGAGGTGTGGAAAGACTGCATGGTGTTGTTTGAGTGCGATGTTCTATGGGTTTTGACCGATCGCTGATCAGGGGAAGCTACTGGCGACGGTATCTGCATTGGGATGTCAAAATAGGCCAAATTGGAACTCGACCTCCCTCCAGTGGAGACAGAGCCGCTCACACTGTTCGCGCGCAGCGTGGAGCGCCTCGGGTCTCTGGGAGGTGAAGCTGGTGGTGAATTCGACGGGGCATCATCTACTCGGGCGCCTTGCAGCGGTAGGCTGAACGGCGGAATGCTGGCCTGTAGAAGCATTAGTTCTGGACATACCAGAGGGCGATTGGTCCGACTTACCCAAGTTCTTCGACTCACTTCACCGGCCTTTTTGCTCATTTCAGCCACCATCTTTCCCAGCTTAACGACCAAGGTATTCAACTCCTTGCCTTGAGCTTGCAACTCCACGAATGCATTGTACCAGCCCTCAGTATTGCCCTTCATTGCGGCGTAGATGTCCACCACGTCTGGACGATCTTGACGCCAACTGCCCGCGTTTTGGTGAGCCAGATAAACAGCAAACTCCTTTGTTGCAGCGAGGCCATGCTGCACATCTTTGTCGTACTGTTCGAGCTGGATGTTGGTGCGAGCTACGATATGCTCAATTTTTTCGTTGCCTTGGACGATCTCGAGGCGGAAATTGCGATCCTCGAGCAGCTTCTCAAAGACTTCGAGGTTCTCCATGGGCAAACGAAGGTAGTCGATCCTCTCCTTCAAATCGTTGGTCGCCTGCTCAAAGTCCTCCATGACCACCTCGAGAAACTCGTCCACCTCATCGATGTGTCCCTGCAGGATACTGACGACCTGGGCGGCGCTGTTGGCCATGCCGTGGAGTAGCAAGTAAACGCCAAATGATATCTGCGCCATGAGCTTCAGGAGCTCGTGCTGCTGCTGGCCGGGGCGAAAGCGCCAGAACATATCGGGTAGGTCATCTTCACGTTCTTGGCTAATGAGCTCCTCGCGACGAATCTTTGCATCAGCAGTTTTAAGTTTCGGTTTCTGGGTAGGATTGCCATCGGCGACTTCGAGGAACGACTCGGCGAAGGCGGCCTGCATTGAGGGGATGGGATGGCGAGGGACCTTGGGGCTGCCCAGTGTCGGTGACTCGTTATTTGTTCGGCGTATGCTGCGGTCTGGGATCTGGGGCACGGTAGCCGTAGTTGGTGTTCGCTGAGCATCCTCATCGTCACTTTCATAAATGGGAGAAGGCAGGTCGTCTGACGGGGGAAAGAGAACAATCGGAAGGTCCAAGCTCAAGTCGAGGTTGTTGTTGGCCCCGAAGGACATGCGTGGGAAGCCTGTTGATGTAGCCATGGCGTATAGAAGAAGCTGTGTCTGGAGAGGCTATAGGCGAGCGGCAGAGACCATTGGCGTGCGACAACTGCCACAGCCGCTCGACAGTACGGGTCTGGTGGTTCGGTCGGAGTCGTGTGATGCGGGAGGTCGAATAGCAGAGTCGGAGATATAACGTAGGACGCTGTGCGACACGGGCGCTGAGCGGGAGACCACAACTGTCACTGCTGGTCTCGAAAGTGTTGGTGGTAGTGGTGGTTGTTGTTGTACGAAGTGTTGGGTGTGCCAATGGCTGGCGCTGGTTGGATGAGAATGGCAAAGAGTCGAGATGTTGCAACAAGCAGCCGCGTCGAAGGGGAGAAAAAGGACGTGTTTAGCAGTCGCAGATTGACATGACAGGCAGGACAGCCCCTGGAAGGTGAGGGAGGGGGGGTTGAGAAAGAGAGGAGCGAGCAAGAATAGATCCGGGGTTGTCGCAATGATGAAAAAGGGCGAGCGGGCGAGCAAGGAGGGATGTCGGAGGCAAGGTAAGGCCAGACAGGGTAAGGTATAGATTATAGTGTGAAGTGGGATAATATTAGGATTATGAGTAAAAGGGTTAGGCTCAGGACAACGAGAAGCGAAAAAGAAGAACCGGGAAGGCCAAGCGATGACGGCGGGATCGGGGCCGGGAAGAAGGCTCAAGAGTCAAGGCTCCCGTCGTACGCACAGTCGTGTATTCGTACAAGAATGGCGAGAGGGGCAGAGGATAGCATTCCAGGGCGGAGATGGATGAGGCGAGGGTGAGTTTGAAGTCTGAAGAGGAGGGACTGGACGGTTGAGGCAGGCTCAAGTGTACGGAGTAAGGTACCTTAGTGAGTGGCACAGACAGATAGATAGTTGGATCTCAAGTCTACTTCGTGGCCTCGGAAAGAGTGACGGGATGGAGGAAGAAGTCGAGAGGAGGGAAAAGGGCAAAGAAGCTCTGTTGGTAGTAGGGATGTAATGCGCCTCACGCTGGGATGGTAAAGAAAGCCCGGAAATGCAGTTCGCGAGTGAGAGAGAGTGTGGTGTGTGTGAGAGGGAGTGACTTGCGCGGCGATTGACCATGAGATGGGATGGTGTGGGATGGGATGGGATGAGATGGGGGTGCCCTGGGCCTGAACCTGGACCTGGACCTGGACCTGGACAGACGTACATCCATCCACCCACCCTCCACTAAATTGAATTGATTGAACGAAGGTGGAGGGATGAGTGGCTCGAATGCCGGCGACTACGCTAACGCAAGGAAAGGCAAGACCAAGCAGGCGGGCAAGGTGGGTGGTGGTCGCCCTGCTCCTTTTTTTCACCACCGTCTTGTAGATACCTCTTGCTTCGTACTTGAGGTACATTTGCTGCTACTTTGTGGTCCAAAACTGAGCGAGTGGTGCAAGGCAAGGTACGCGGCGCGCGGCGTGAGGTGCAGATGCAAGATGGTGCCAGTGCCTTTTTTGGCAGGGGAAAGGGTGAGCCCAGGGCATATTATCTTAGGTAAGGCAAGTATCTCCAAGTAGTCTCCTGCCTCTGCCTGTACCTCTAGTCGAAATGGTATTTTAGATGTATGCTCCGAGAAGATGTCTGTGAGGTATCCGTACCTCGGTAAGGTAGGAAAAGATACTTTGAGTTCTCGACCGTAAAGGCTATGTACCTCGCCCAGAAACAAAACTGCAGCTTGGGGCGAGTGCGAGTGCGTGTGCGTGTGCGTGTGTCTCCCGCAGTACTCCGTACATCTGTATTGTTTCTGGCAGGGCTCCAGGATCGAGTGAGAAAAGAAAGCAGATGCTGTTGCTGTTGGTTGAACAGCACTGACACATTGACCTTGACATCCAGTGACAGTCCTTTGACATTGACAAGGACGTGGAATCGGGCAGGCTTAACTGACACCTGCGACCGCCGCTGCCATGGGACCATTACGGAGTACCTGAACCATGGGGGGAGCTCTGAGAGAAGATACTTCAATCCAAGTATATTCCTTGCCCCAAGGTAAAGTACTCGTACGTGTATTTCGTACTCTCTCTTTCTCCCTTTTCCTCTCATTCGAGTCTCGTGTCTACAAGCGGCGGTGCTTCTTCGCCCTTGCAGTTATGACACTCGACTTTGGTTCTTGTGGAATGCCACTTTTGCTTTCTTCTCCTTTGATGAAATCTCTTCCATTACCTAGGTACGGAGTATTACTCACCAAAAAAAGTTCTTCGAGTATCTAGCCGGAGACCCTCGTCCGATTCTTCATCGCCTCTTCCGAGATTCATTGTACTTAGTCATTCCAAGCAATCAATCGAATCGTTCTATTGCTTTGCTCCCCGCCCTCCTCTCTCCGCAGCCATCACATTGCTCCAGGTCATTTTGAGAGAAAAAAAAGGAAGAAAAAAAAGGGACGCCTCAGGTCGGCCCCAGCAGAAGGAAGAAAGGAAGGACCCAGCAGTACCCGCCCGTCCCTCCTTCCTCCCCCTTGAAAGTTGAATCGTTTCCCATGGACCCCTGCCGCCCTTGCTCTTTTCTGCCTTAGCACTGCTTCTTTCCTCGAACCCCTGAGCAAAACGGGGAAGAACATGGCAAGCTGCAAAAGGGAAAGGGCCCAGAACCACCCGAGGCTCCTCCCAAGACAGGGACTCACTCGCAGGGTCCCCTACGGAGTACGAACCCGTGGACTACCAAATACGTACTCCGTACCTTACTTACCTTACGGAGCACACATCTCAACCCCAACCTCACCATGGAAGATTTCACCATGCTCACCACCACCATCACCACCATCTCAAAGGCACCATGTTCCCTAGGAAGCATGTACTCACCAAGACCTTAGCCTGAACCCGAACCCAGGCTCAGACTAACCTTGGCACCCAGAGCTCTCGCTGCTTGAATTCGAAATCGTCTTTGCGCTGCCCGCTCGGGCTCAGGGGAGATAGTACAGCCCCCACTCACCCCGGACCCTGCCTTCAACCTACGCAGTATCCGTACCTAGCCTTTCTCTCTCCACCCCTCAATCCTCCAATACTCCCAACTGCCACCCCTCTCTTCCGGCGAAAAGCGGTCTCCGGCTCTCGACCTCTGGCCCTCTAAACTCCAGTACCAAGTACGGATAATCTGTACGGATGGTGAGGCGCATCTCCATGATACCAACAGAAATCTTAGGTGTGGCACTCGATGAAGAGGGAAGCACAGTCTCATTGCTCTTCTTCCTTTTGCAGAGAGTAGGTCCATCTTGCTTGACGCCACTAGACTTACTGACTGGGTTGCCAGACTACGGGAGCTGTGACTGACTCCGTCGCTTGGACATTATTCGATGGTGTCCACCTGCGCGTTGATTGATTGACTGTCGGTCTGATAATAGGTGCCCTCCTACCGAGCAGATGTCTTCACCCACTTCCCTTTCCGCCCCCTACCTTACGTATGGTCTAGGACCGGGACGCACTCGACACACTGATGCTAATACTGCAGCCGATGCCGATAGCATGCCCGTCGAAAGCATCTTCTGCTTGCTTCTGCAGCATCAGAGTCAAATCATCCCCTCCAGATTGCTGACAAGATTGGCCGTCCCAGCATTCATCCCCCCAAAAGAAACAAATCAGCCGCCATCCACCGACGCAGTCATTGCGGCTAGTATATGCACGCCAAGGCAAGCGGGCAGATGTTTCGTCAGCCACCAAACACGGCAGAAAGTACCAGCCAAACTTTTACTGTCTGCGGCCTGCGGCCTGCGCTGACTGGCACCTCGCACTGCCTAGTACATACAGTACACGATGCTTTTCCAAACTATCAATCAAATCCAACTCACACCTTTCTACCGACAACCAACGGGAGACAAGGTGCCTTGTCCTAGGGCTACGAGACTATCTCCACGATGCAGGACCGAGTCTCGATTGGGATCCAACCCCCTGCTCTTGACAGCCAGCCTGGGACGTCGTCTTACCACGGTATTGTTCGACTGCTGACACAACTTCCTTTCATGGCCGAATACGGATGCTTTGGGTAAGTTGGTCGTCGTCACCCGTTATCCAGCCCATTCTAGAAGTCATCCTCCGGCCCGCCAATTAATAACTCGCATTCGCACGATGAAATTGATTCATAGGAGAGGGGTATCTGTACACTTTGGGGGCACAGCCTGCGAAGGCCGCCCTCCCACTGCTCAAGTGCCGTTACATGTTCCATTTGACGCGCCATTGAGGGCCCACATTCAATGGTTATGGCACTTCGTACTGCAACCTTGCCATCCAAAGGTGCCTCTTGGTTCTTTTGTCAACGACAACAGGGCCTGAAGAAGTCCTGGCGATGCAATTATTTGCTTCGCCTGTTTTTAGCCAAGCCCAGGCCATATCCGCCAGGCAAATACCAAACACAGCGCGACAAGTATAGTCTACTGCGGTACAGATGCCAGCAGCCTCCGTTCAAGTTGACATGAGGTGTGCCATTGTCTGAAGGTTGCGTCCACGGCGTAGACGGCAAAAATCATTGAGTTCGCCACTCATGATATATCATGGGTCGGCATCCGAGAAGCATTGCAGATTTGGTGTCAGTGTTGTCTGTCAATGGTGGCACGATTCGCAAAACGTTGTGTGCTATGTCGATGCCCTAAATACTTACGGTGCACTCTGCTCTCACACTCGTTATTCCTCTAACGCCTGTCGCGGGCATCAGCTCCTGGTTGGTCTTTGATCGCACGGCCTACGATGCTTGAAGCGGCGAAAGCTAGACCTGAGTCTCAAACCGCCGACCGTGTCGACACTTGACACCCACCATCTTGTGGCTGTTGCTTGACACGAGGTTGTATCAACGGCTCGCCTCTCCGGCCTCATTTCCAACTGTGTACATAGGCTCACTGAGCCGATCGATCGGCCTCGTCTCCCGACCATGGAGCCCGCTTGCAGCCCTTGGCTCTTCCTGGCAACCTCTTTATCGATCGACTGGAATATTTGACCTGATTTGCAACGTTCATTTGGGGTCCTTGACTTGAATTTCCCCAGTCACTGACCGCTGTTCAAGATTAGTTGCGACACCCTTGACATGGCTGGAACAGGGGAAGGCGAGAAGAGACGAGGGACAAGAAAAGACGAGATGAACCGAGGAGCCTCATCGGGTTCGGCCCAAAAGCCCCTGACGCTGACTACAGAGCTAGTCTGTGCGAGCAACCACTGCGCTTCTAATGGAGTGACGACGGAGTGGATGATGGGGGGCTATCCTAGACCGAAGGCCTCGGCCCAAAGAAACGCGACGTTCAATGTTAATATTGACTATCGATCCTACTCCAACGCGTCTTGGTCCGGTTATTTTACAGACACGACCCAACGGCTGATGCCATGCGGTCCGTTGTGGCCTACCCAACTCCAATAAAAGCCCAAAACGGCCCGCTGACGACTTCTCCTGACCCAATGATACGGGACGAACCAGATTACCACATCTCGCTCGGTGGCTTATACGACTACAATTGGTAACGGTTCAAGTCGGTTTGGCGAAGTATTGGTTTTGGCGAACATTGCCAACCCACCTCTACCTTAGCAATGGGGATACGACCGTGTGGCCATCCTGAGGGCCTACAGGGCAGACGACGGAGAGTTCGATAGATGACGGGCATGACGATGTGATTAGCCACAACCTTCCGGGGGGCTCATGTGGGACTTTGACAAGTTTCTTTCCGTATTACCGTCGCCAAGGGGTCACTCACGTCACGATAACCATTGTGGCTCCTGTGGGATTGAGCCATCGATCTCCTCTCCATCTCAACCCCTCGCGGTAAAATTTCACCATGGACAAATATTGGCTTCGCAGTGGCTCCCTCAAGGGTCGGAAAGTGGCGGCCGTATTTGCATCGCGCTTCTCCTTCGCAACGCAAGCGCGGAAATGACGGGCATCCACGATTCAGCCCATCTCGCACGACAAGCGCGGCTGCAAGGCATGTCCTGGTTTCGATCCCGTCATACCTCCGTTCATGTGGTGCCCCTTGTGCCACCTTCGGCTCTGGAAGTCTGGGACACTTGTCGATCGACGGTCGGTTCATCTGGAGATCGATCTACAATCTGCTTACCAAAGTTGAGAAGCATCTACTTCTGCTCTGCATGAGCCTCACCCCGCAGCATGCATCTTGTACCAGGGGAACGACAATAGGAACGGGGTGAGAACTACGGACACGCAGTGGTCACAAACCAAGAAGCAGTCGCGCCAGCCGAGCCACAGTGGGCTATGGGCTCTCTCTCAGCTGATTATTCAAGGATTCCCGCTCACTGATTTGGCGGGAGGAGGAGTTTGCGCCCGTCCGGATACATACTCACTAATGAAGGCTCCTGCTATCATCAATTAGGGCTGATGATGAAGAGCCATTTCTTAGTAGAGCACCATCATATTAGATCAGCTAACTTGGCGTCAGCCACACAACATAACCCAAACACACGGTGGCATTCTTGACGTGTCTGCTCAGCAAATACAGGTCAGCTATTCTCGGCTGACGGTCTTACTCGCTACAGTCGAACCCCAAGTTTGGGAAGGGAGACGCTTGTGAGAAGACGTGAACATGTCGCGGGCGAAATCTTCTTTTCTGACGCTCTCGGCCGAACTCGAAAAATTCATGAAAACCCATGGTTTCCCCCCCTTATGCTCCCGTTGACATCGTACATGAACCCCCCACATCATCTCCGGCTAACTGCAGCAACGGTCAAGACCCTCTTTGGTGACCAGGTTCTTAGGCCACAAAAAGCGGATAGAAGAACCAAAAAAAGAGGTGTCGGCATCGGCCATACCTATCGTGGAGCCGTCGGTACCTGTGTACAGCCTTGGTGGACCTTTATGGTCGCATTCCGCGGCCCAGCTTACACATTGGGCCTCGCGACATAGCTTACGACTGCTACACAGTACAGGTGGTCGAATCAGTTCATCCTTCTTTGGGTGAGGTCGTAATGTGGCATCGACAGGAGGAACAACAACAACAATAACAGAAGATACGGCAGATAGCATCCAGCCGTTCACTGCCGCGAACATCATCAACAGTTGTTACTCTGTATCCATATCCGTACGGTCTCCCGCATCAACATCCGGCACGTGACACCCCGTGAGACTCGGCGCGCTCTACCAAGGGCCAGGTTCCCCCAGCAGCAACAAGTAATTGCGATTTCTCAGCCAGCGGAGACCATCCTTGCGAACCAACGACCCGCGCCGAAAGCCAAGGCCCACGTTCAAAATCCTCTTGGGTCCTCGAGCAATTGCCCCGTCCTTCTAGCTCAACTCCAAAACTTCATCATCGTGAAGGAAAATTGAGAGGGTAGAGGGCTTCACCACTCCCCCTTTTCCCCCCTCAATCCCAGCCGGCATCAATCACCCCCCGGCAGATCACGATGTTCGCTGCATTCCGCTTCGGGAGGGATCTTTGGGATCCTTCTCACCGCTTCGAGACCTCATGGCTACTTTCTCCCTATCTGTTGGCCGCGTGCCGAGCGCTGATTGTGAGTCTTGTCTTCCTCTACTGTCCTATGTTGCGCTCGAAGATCCTTCGTGCATTGGGGTGTCTGTCAATGTCGTCACCATCCTCTCAACGCGCAATTGCCCATTTAATCACCACCAAACAGTGAATTGCTTATAGGAACTAACACGCTTTTTTTTCTCGCAGAGTTTGTACATCTTTGTCGTCCGCTTCTTCGTCATCGGTTGGACCTGTACACACGCTGAAGATGGCGGGTGCAAGGTCGTCGGCCAGAGCTTTTCCTACTTCGTAAGCAAACCTCGAATATCATTGTGCACCAACATGGTGAACGGGTAGCAAGACTGACTTCAAGAAACCTCACTGTAGACTGTTCTGACCTACTGGGGACTCGCATTTTACTTCCTCATCTCGGCCATCCACACCTTCACGTACGCGCACTCTGGAACCCCACTGCTCGACCGCTTCCCGCGACCCCTTCAGGCCCTGCACGCCTTCTACTATAGCACCATCGTCACCTACCCCTTCATTGTCACCATCGTCTACTGGGCCATCATCTACTCCGCCCCCTGGTACACCGAACAGTTCGAGGCCTTTAGCAACATCTCCCAGCACGGCCTCAACTCGGCTTTCGCCCTCTTTGAGATCGTCATCCCGCGCACCAGCGCCGCCCAGCTCGAGTGGGTGCACATGCTGTGGCTCATCATCGTTCTCGCCCTGTACCTCGCGCTTGCCTACGTCACCTACTACACCCAGGGCTTCTACACCTACGACTTCCTCAATATCGACAAGAACGGCAGCGGCAAGGTGGCCGCGTACATCATCGGTATCGCGGTGGCCGGTATCGTATTTTATCTCATTGCAAAGGGCCTCATCTGGTTGAGGGAGTGGATCACGGAGAAGAAGTTGGGCATGGACGGCAAGTTTGCCCAGCAGCGCTTCCGCAACTACGATACGGAGCTGGGCACCATCACCTCCAAGCACTGAGAGCGAGAATAAAGTCGGGAAGAGGGAGCGAAAGGGAGGAGGATAAAAGGAGCCTAAGCGCTCACCCATTTTAATCGACGGAACACGCAAACATGGAGACGTATATGTATGTATATATGTATGTATAAGGAGGGAGAGAGAGGAGGAGAAGGAGTCTGGACACGGATTTGGGAGCAGGCACTGCATTGTTATTATACCCCGGAGGGACCTCAACTAATTTTTGTCCCCTCCTTGCCAAGAATAGCATCACAACGTTGAGAGGCGCAAAGAGGGAAGAGAGAGCGATTTGCATCAAGTAATAGTACAGCACAATAATTGTCTAGTATCATAATACCCAACATCTAGATCGCTATTCAAACAGGTAATTTTGCTACAAACGTTTTGGTGACAACGACGGTGAACACCCGTCAACACTTTAATGAAATGCCTCTTCGCATCTCGGCCTCTCTGATTTCAAACATGACCTGAACACCCATGTACAAAGAGGCAAACGCACTCAAAAAGAACAGTGCACCTAAGAAGATCAGGATTAGCATGTGCGCTCTCATGGACAAGGGGATAGAGCTGAATCCCTCGGGAGTGGGTTTGTTATTATTGAACTTACCTGACCAGTCATGCAGAATACCAGAGAGAATGCTCTGCAAACCATCGAGTCCCACAGCGAAACCAACAAGGTTGGCAATCATCATCATGAGCACATTCGCAACAGCTCCCACAGCGCAGATGCGCCGGTACGTATCCGGCCTGCCCTCCCACTTGCGCGCGGGAAACAGGAGCTGCGCGAGAACCTCGGGGAGGAGGAAGAGCACAATGAGCCAGCCCCAGATGAGCAGGCGCAGACGGATATCGTGCCAGAGGGCGACAAAGGTAAAGACCAGCAGGTACGTGGCGATGGAGCGGACGGTGGTGGCCCAGGAGCGGAAGTTTGCGCCGCCGAGGGGGATGTAGATGTACCGGATGAGCCAGCGGTTGTAGGAGCGATGCCAGGCCTTCCAAAAGGATTTGGGGGACCAGTTGTTGGAGACGCAACGGAGCATGTTCTCGGGGGCGTCGACGCCGTCGATGAGGGCCCAGAGGCGGAAGAGGCGCCAGGGGAGGAGGAGCTTGAGCCAGATGATGTGGAGGTTGAAGAAGGAAAGGAGGGAGAGCTGGGCGGGCGTGTAGGTGGACCAGTCGGGCCCCGCGTGGGAGATTGCACAGACGTAGTCGTAGTGCAGGACGACCTCCATGGCGAGGAGGCCGAGGAGGAAGCGGACGGCGTAGCGGATCGTGCGCGGGGTCTCGATCGAGGCCGGGCGGTGGCGGAGCTGGGAGATGAAGTCGTTGTAGCACATGATGGGGCCGACGAGGTAGAGGGGCGCGTAGATTGCGTAGGCGACGTAGTTGCGGAAGGAGTAGTCCTTGGGCGCGGCGGAGATGGCGAGGCGGTCTCGTTCGGAGAGGTTGGAGGGGTCGAGTTGCTTCTTCTTGGGGACGTCAGTGATGTCGAGGGGATGGCATAACAGAGCTTCGATCTTACCTCTAGGGGACTTCCGCTGCGTTGATCAAGGCTAAAGTAGTAGTCCAAGTTGAAGCTGATGAGCCGCAGGACGGTGATATTGAAGAGAATCTCCCAGCGGCTCATGAGACCGCCGTGACGGTCCATCCAAGTACCCCACCTCACGAGAAAGGGGTCTTCATCGAGCAAGTTCTTCGTCGTGGGCGGTGGGGTGATGTGTCGCGCAATGGCGGCGAAGCGGTATCCCTCGCACAGCTCATTGGCGAAGAGCATGCAGATGTTGAACGTCCAGGTCGCAGCGGGGACGTAGCGACGCGGGAGCCGGGTCGCGAGCTGGTAGTTGATGTGGAGGATCGCGAGCACCTTCAGGGCGGAGAAGCCGTGCAGGGCGACGAGGAAGACGAGGGCGAAGCGGTAGTCGAAGGAGGCGCGCTGCTCGAGGCGGGCGTCGCCCTGTTCGGTGACTGACTTTTTGTGCAGGTCCGAGGGGATCGGGAAGACTGTGTTCCAGAGCTTGCGGAGGAGGGGGTGGAAGGCCAGGAGGAGGGCCATGAACGGGAGGTTCTCGCGGAACGTATGGTATTGCGAATCGGATACGTCCTAGAAAGAGAAGTCGGAGGGTGAGCGGGAGTCGTGCAGGTGGGTAATTTTTGCGCATTATGTGAAGCTTACGATCTTGCGACCCGGTATCCACCCATCGCGGAGGAAGCGTTCGTAGTTGTGGTATCGAGGGTCAGAAGCTAGAGTATGGAAGCATTGAGCATCAGCGGAAGCTTCAACTTCGGAGGGAGAGGACCATACGTACGTCTTGATACATCATACGCGATCCAAAACATGTATGGCACGATGAATGAAAGCAGAAAGATGTAGAGGAGGTATTCCGGTGTCCCCCATTTCGACGGTTGGGAGCGGCTCTGGACCTTATTGGGCGGCTCCTTGCTCTGCGCGGGGTCGGTTCGGGCCTCGACGATGGTCTTGTATGGAACGGAAGAGGAGCTCGTGAAGCGGGTGTCGAGGTTGTCGAGGTCGTAGATGCTCCTCAAGAACTTGAGAATGGCAGCCATGGCGAGCTAGCTCGGGGATGCAAAGCTCCTCGAGGAGCTTTGCGCACGTGTGCGTGTAGAAGAAGCCGAAGAGGCGGAAAGGGAGAGAGCTTCGGGTTTGAGAGTTTCTAGAACATGTCGTCAATGAGTGTAAGTAGAAGAAAAAGCTCTCGAGAGCTGTGCCGAGTTGCAAGTTTCGACAATTCGGAATGTTGATTCGAGTAAGCGGGAAAGGGTTGGGGGTTGTGGGAAATTGGAGATCGAGTCTCGTGGTCGCAACTTCCGTCCCATGTGTCCAGACAAGACCGGGGACCTTTAGTTTGGGGTGTTATTTTTGTGACGCAAAACCGCCTTAAGAGGGATTGGAACCTGGAAGGGCTAAGCTTCAGACAGGCGGCGGCACGCGTTCCCTGCGGTGGATACATGGGTACCTCTTTACCCCCCGCCCGCGTGTAAAAACGGCTAGGTGACACTGCCCGCAAAGCCGGGGCTTCGGGGCACTTTTGGACCCAACGGAGCTTCAGCTTGCGCACCCAATTGGCCGGGGAGCCGATCGACAGAACCCCTATTGTGGCACCTGGGGGGGGAGAGATGGGCGCCTCGGTTCCTTGCCAGTTTTGCTTCAGACCAGTCTGGCCAATGGTACCAAATCGTTGCAAATCTGAACCCGACGACACGACGACCCAGCTCGGTTATACGTGTAGCATACGTCGATTGCTGAGAGTGCTTGCATCTCATGGGTTGGTTGCAGCAAGAGGATAAAATAAGCCAACGTTGCTGTTGGAGACAATCTGCCAACGGTCCGGATGTCTCCAGATCAGAGGCCAGACAGGGACCCCAACGAAGCAGGTCTAAAGCGTACACATGCAGCCAAGGATTTTCAATGCATCAATACATTGTCCTGGACTATTTTTCAAGAGCCAATCTTATTCTGTAGTACTTGTTGTGCGTTCCCAATCCAAACTCCTTCATCGTATATCGTATCTGGTTCGGGGCAAGGTACCTGAGAGTATCTCATACCACGGAATTTTAAAAGCCCCAAACTCCTCATGGAGCATCCGATCACGCAGTCGCTGACCACTGTTCCATGGACGCCCTCTTCACCCCAAACCGTTGACTGAGAACGACCCAGGAGGCGGTACAAATCAGCTTTCGGAACGCTCTGGGGCTCGCATCCTCACCGAAGCCTTCCTCAAGCCACCTCTTTGCATTGTCCCACTCCATGAAGCCCAAATTCTCAATATTCTCCCGCGTAATCAACCCCGCAATCATGTTATACACGGGCCCGCCGCGCGGCCACTTGACCGGCGCTGAGTACGGATGCTTCCTCCGCTCGTAGAGCTCCTGCGTGATAAACGGCTTCCCGGCCTCCTTGAGGATCCACTTCTCGCTCAGCTTCTGACGCGCCGGGCTGAGGTCCTTCCACCATAGACTGGCTCCGGTGCCGGTCGTTCCCGTCCCGGCGGCTTCCCCGGCAGCTTCTTGATACGCGACTTTGACGCTCGGTGGCAGGTTGTTGACGTACTCGACGAGGTGGTGGTCTAAAAAGGGAGGGCGCGCCTCGATACTGTGCGCCATTTCCGTGCGGTCGCCCAGGCACGTCAGAATCATGTTGGCGAGCGGGCCCTTGGTGTAGACGTAGAGGCTCGTGTGCAGCGAGTGCCACTTCTCAATCATCTTCTCAAGGACCTCGGGGGCGAGCGTCGACTCGGCCGAGCCGGGCGTCTTGTACGTCTCCCGCACCCACGGCGAGAAGGCGTTCCACTCGGGCTCTAGCCGCATCGAGTTGCTCGTCGGGGCGGCGCCGCCCGACGAGGACTCGTCCTCGAACATGCCGATCCGGTCAAACATGGCTTTGAGATCGTCCGTCATCTCCTGATACATGGGGATGCGGACGTCGTCCGTCATGTCGGACTGCGGCCACGCGAGGTCTGGTTCCATGAGGAAGGCTGGGAGCACGAAAGGGTAGCCTGCAAAGTGCTCGTCGGCGCCCTCGCCGGTGAGAACGACGGGCACGCCGTGCTGTTGAGGTAGTGATGACAGGCAGAACTTCCCTACGCTGTTCAGGTCAAAGTTGTGATGCTCGGTATGGAAGACTGCGTCGGCAAAGTTGTCGGCGAGCTCCGTCTCGTTCATATCCTTCTTAAGGATCTGCACGCCGAGGAAGTCGGCTGAGCGCTCAGCAATATCTTGTTCGGGCGTCAGTATGGTACTACTCTTATGACCGATGGGGGCTCTGCACTCACCAGCTTCGTTGAAGCCCGAGGACTCTGGGAACTGGATTGTGAAACACTTGATGCGCTTCGTGGCGTCTTGATTACCCAGCTCGATGCCCTGCTCCTTTACCAGCTTTGTCACAATGCCTGCAATGACTGATGAATCGATACCTGTGACTAAGTCAGTTTTAAAACTCCGTTTCCTTGACCTGGCGATTCCATACCTCCAGACAAGTAGATTCCCACGGGAACATCAGCGCGGAGTCGAAGCTTCACCGCTTCTATCAAACGCTCTCTCACACCCTCAATCATCTCCTCTGCGCTCCGCGTCTCCGCCTCACGCTGTCACGAGTTAGTAAAACTGCACCTCCCATCAGAATCCATCATCACCGGGGTGCCACATACCTTGTCCTTGAACTCGGGATCCCAGTACTGGCGATGCTTAATTTCGCCATCTTTAATCTCCATCCAGTTTCCGGGCTCCAGCTTGCGGACGTCCTTGAACACGGTGCAGTCGGCTTGCATCGAAGATCCACTGAGCAGACCGTAGACATTCCACTGCGGCTCCCAGCCGAATGCACGGAATCCCTTCATCTCCGAGGCCAAGAGCATTCGCTTACTGGCACCGTTGCCCTGGTCCTGTACAGTCCAGAACATTGGCTTGATACCGAAGCGGTCCCTGGCCACGATGACCCGGTCCTTGTTCTCATCGTAAATCACAAAGGAGAACTCGCCGCGGAGGTGCTTGAAGAAGCCGGGGGCACCGTAGATTTTGTACAGGGCGACCAGGACCTCGCTGTCGCAATGACCCTTGAAGCGGTAGTTGTGCTCCTTGATACACCTCTCTCTGATGGCATCGTGGTCGTAGATTTCTCCGTTTACCACGGCGTGGATCTTGCCATCATCACTGTGTAATGGCTGCTCTCCGTCAGGGGAGAGGTCGTTGATTGCTAACCGGCAGTGGCCAAGACCTAACATGGCAGGTTAGTTGGATGTTCCCAAAGAATGGTTGCCAGGGGGTTCCATACCGACTGTCGCATCATCACTGATCCAGACACCAGAGGCATCCGGGCCGCGGTGAGCGATGGCTTCAAGACTCTGTTGAAACTGTTGGCGCAGGGTGCCATGCTCTGAGATTTTCTTTGCTTTGCTCTTGACTCCGTTCGCTCCATTGCTGTCACCGTTCCTGCTGGCGGAATCGCTCCGCTGGAGTGTGATAGCCGCCGTGATTCCGCACATATTGCTTCCCTTAAAAGAACAAAATACTGATATGGGTATAGTGGGAGTAACTCAAAACAAGACAAGAATTTTAGTGTACTTGGCCTTTGCCTAGATGCCACAAGGTCAACTATATAAGATAGCAGAACTAGGCGAGCAGGTTACGACCACCGCCCCTCATAGACCTGGCTCAGATTCACGGACAACAAGCCCGGCGCAACGCCTCACAACCTTTCTCAGCCCTAAGTAGCGTTCATGGAAACGGACAAGACCGAATCGTGCAGGTTGAAAGGTTGAAGCTCACATAGTCTACGTCAGGGAGAACACACTGTACACTATGTATACGTACAGGCCTACTCTGAAGAGGTGACGACGCAGACACGAAAAGTTGAGCGTACAAGCCACATAGTTGGTGGAGGCTTCAATGGTAGAGGCGAACTTTCGACCACGGTGGAAACATGAGCCTTGGCCCGGTCGCAGGAGCTTCAGCCCCAGACACGTTGCCGTTTCCCCCGGGCTTGGTCTGCGTCCTTGGCGATCGTGAGCTTTAGGTAAACGTAAGGTAGTCTGTGGGTGTGGGCTGACTACTTGCGCTGTCCCGTCGCTTTCGTCAGGCTCAAGTTGCCCTACTCCGCAATGAGATTCATGGAACTCGTAGGAACTCATGGACCTCGTCCCAAACGCCAAGCAGAGAGGCCTTTTTTTTTTTTTTTTTGGCCTGTTCGTTCCCTCTCTTAGCAGAGTTTGAGGAAACAAATCTTGCAGCTGCTGCATGTTTTGGAGATGGCAGATGCGGAGGTGGCTGAGTTGTTGGTTTCGCGGACAAAGCGCTCACGTTGGTGTGGTTTGATTGCTCCGGCGCATGGCCCGTCTTGCATTCGATGTATCCGGAGTGGCGGGATCATATGTCTAGGTACTCGAAGAAACCATTAAAGAATGGAAGGGTATGTTTGCAGAATCCCATTTCCCTGTTGAATTGAATCCAAGTGACTTGGTGTGGTGGATGTTGCTGTTCACGATCTTGTCCCATTCGGTGCTGTAAGTTTCTTCTATCATAACATAAGACCACACACTAGCAACTCGATTCTCACTCTTCTCTCTTTTCTTTGGACCAATGTAATTCAAACATGTTACCTTTACTCTCATCATTGTTTCTAGCTGACTGTCTTCCAATTGGAGTTTCAGCTGCGGCTCCTGCCCTGGCGTACGCACGCATGCACCCCCTGCTCCTGGTCCTACGGACTCATGATACTTTTGATCCTATAAAATTACCGCGCACGTCATCTCTTCAATTATGATGAATTCTGTCTTGTTCAGACGAAATTACCAAAAGCTGTTATACATACATATGTTTGCGCCTAAATATGGGTGTGCATGACGGGCTCGATCCTCCCCGGCTTAGGTTCCTAGTCGGCCCCGAGCTTGGGCCAAACCGAAGAGAGAGTTTAAAGCCATCGGGCTATGGGGATTACTTCGACCCCGAAGTTCTCGTGACTTTCATGCGGTGGGATTAGGGACTGTAGTTTTTTGGGTTGTCCTTGGCGGGCAAGATGTGGGCAGTATCTTGGAGAAAGGCCGTTGTCAGAGCCATACTCTTGAGAGTTATCAAGAAAGAACATTTCCAACATGGAGCAATGAGAAAAATATCGAATGTGGTTTTGTGTTGTACAAAGCATTCATTGGAGTTGTAAGTTAGAAGGTGGAGTGAACTAGGTATCTTCTTTAGCATTGGAGACCTCTAGACATCTGAAATGTCTCTATGCTGTAATATTACGGAAACCAAATGGAGGTCTTTGCTAGTGCCAGCATTTGGATACCGTCTATCCTTATCCTTCAATGTGCTTCTACGCCACACCTCCTCGAACCTTTGACTTCAAATACCATACATGTAGACAACTCCAAAGCGTCCCAAGAAAAGCAGGAGCAAACCGCAGCCCTTGCGTTTCTTGGCACCTCGACTTCTCCGCCGAGATGTCTCGAACCGATTAAAGTCCAAAGGGTCAGAGTGGAACACTGTACAATGACCTGCAAATTGACGAGGAACTTTTCACGTGGAATGTGTTCTGTGAGCGGCAGTGATCTACCAGTGGGCATTCCACTGGTATGTGACTTTGTATAAGGTAGATTCACTAAGTCTAGTCTTGCTTATGGCACTTTTTGTACTTTGAAATATGTGCAAAGTCTGCTCCTTACGTGTGAAAGTATCTCTCATCACCTCATGTTTGCCGTATAACTTTCACTGCAGTCTCTACGTTGTACCCATCGGCATCCCGTACTCTCTCCTACCCAGGTCATCCGCACTTCGTAACCTCAAAGCGATTAACAGGAATGTTCATCTACAAATGTGTCACCACTTCCTTCTGACAACCGTTTGAGAATGGCCGTGTTGGTAATAAAGTTTCAAGTGTTGATTCACTTAGCTAGATGAGCTAGGGTATGCGATAGCTACTTCCCTAGACACCTCGCTCGGCAAATGACAGCAGCTTACGGTGGGTGAAAGCATCTTGAACAATGCCATCGGACAGCAGTTTGAGGAGCCAGGAGTTACGCGGGTGCCCTATCTTCCTCTACATACGTCTGCGCCGCTAAAAAGAGGCACGTCGGCTCGCGAAGTCTTATCCAGTTCATAGCTCGAAAACACCAACTAAGCGCCCCTTTGAGGCTTCCTGGTATCTACAATAGCCTTCCGATGGCATCTTCTCCGCAAGAATTTGCAGCCGTTCGAAGCAATTTGGGAGGGGATTGTTCAAAGAGGCTCAAATGAGCCATGCATTCATGCAAAACTGAACCACGTTGGATGTCTCACGTTTCCAATATACGTCACTCGAAGAATTTGGAGGCCGAATATCAAGTTGAACACCTCGTGCAGATAACACAGCTGAGCTTCATCGCAGAAGGTGCAAAATGGCTTTTCACGATAGAGGCATAACCGCTCTCTTGCCAAACCTCTCGAGTTGATCCACACACTTGAAAAGGAAACAAAGGGTGACTCTCTACTTCCTTCATCTACCCTAGCACTACACACACGCCGAGGGTTAATATGGGAGCTAGAACAAGCACACCCCGCCATCACAATACACTGCTCGAGCCCCGTGAGTCCTCCGCCGGATGCTGTTCTTTGGGAGAAGCAAGCTACGGTCCCCTATTTCGAGGGTATCAACAGAGCTAAAGCGACCGAGAACAACATCTGCCTATGTACCGGCAAGTGTGTGCTAACGTAGCGAGCACTGTTGTTTACTCACTTACAATTATGTCTGGCATTCCCGAATCATAGCAGGCTGGGAAAACATTCAGGAATCCTTCCCGAAACAGTTTTCTCAGAGTCTACTCAGCGTCAAGTCTTCTGCAAGACGAGGTGCCTGTATCCGTCTCTTGCGAGTCTACCAGCTGTCATATGCAACTCCCTGTTGACGATACAAGCCATCAGCCAGCTTGACGACGAAGCAATGCGTGTCATACCGCAAAAAGCCGAACAAGTGGAAACTACTACGTACTAAATTAGTGAAGCAGATCTCACATTCCGGGGTGATCAAAGCGTCTCCTCTGGAATGCGGCACCTTCACGCCATTAGCGGCCCGGACCCGGAGGCCGGGTCCCACTTCAAGTCCTGTCGCCACCCCGAAGCCGGCTCCGATGATGTCTCGGATTATGGTACCGACTTATTAGCTTGTAGAGCTCACGTAGATGATGATACGAGTTCCAATGAGCGGAACAACGGCGGAAGAACGGACCGCCTCTATCAGTACAAGCTGGCGTGAGACAACTTACACAGCTGAGCACATTAGTAGATGGCGAGCTGAACCTTTTTGCTACATTTTCTCGAAACTGGTATAGGGCCCTCGCGGCCCAACGTTTGACATGTACCATATATTTCCTGCCACAATGCATTCTGAACCGCGTTCCGCCGCGGCGCAATCTGTGGTCACATGTTTCTCCTCAGATGGAAATGGCTTAGGTCATCGCGAGGAATTTAAGGTCCTTCCGATGTTGGAGTAAGATTAGGGTTGGTGCAGCCGCGCCGTGCTACCGGAGCTGTATGCCGGCAGATGAAAGGGAGACTTTGCGAAGCAGTAGGTATTTGATATATTTGAGTCAGCAGCTTTCACCACATTCGAGAACCGGTGCCACCAAAAGAAGCGCAAAAATGCCATCTTGGCTGCTAGCGGAGCTCATCTCAGTGGTGGCCGCAACGGTTAACGTTTGCCAACGACGGCGTCCCTCCCTTTAGTGTAGTGCCCTCCAGCCCAGAGACATCGTCCGATAATTGAGTTGACCGTATTGGTGGGGTCTGAAAAGACATTTCTGACGTTGATCGATCGGCAACGCAGCCAATATTCGTCCAGGCAGGCCCAGAGGAGAGTTTCGCATCCAAACCTGGCCACTCAGAGCCCGCGGAGCAAACGTGAACAGGCAAGCAGGTCCTTGAGCCCCTCGAAGGTGTGTTCATGCGCAGGTACCAGGCTGGCCAGGACAAATCCCTAAGACGCGGGATGGAATGGGAAGGACACAGTTGGAGGCTCGAGCGTCGCCGCACTCGCCGACGGGTGGTTTGAGGGAGCCCATCATCATGCCCATGGACGTAACGTGCTATGCTGGCCCGCTTCCGCTTCCGCGTGGTATTTTCACAATCGTGTCATAGTGATCTGTCAAGGGCGACTGTGTCCGTACTCCGTACACATTTCGAGGCTACTTGGCCAAACGTCCGAATATGCGGCCCTGCGAAGAGAATACGAATGTTTGGTAGCGAATGCCATCTGCACAGCATTTGCTGAGGTCGAAGAGATCGGTGACGCACACGACGCCCAATGCAAGTGATGAGGAGGTTGCTGTTCGTCAGGCTTTGACAGCACCCCTAGACGGATGCCAGCACACGACGATCAAGCGCACGGGTCACAGCCAATGACTTGTTATGGCGGGGTGCTCGGCACGGTGGATGTGTGCAAGACCCGGTTCTGTATGGATGAGGTGACGACGAGGATGTGCTGGCACCGGCCAACTCATGCGCGACCAAGTGACCAAAC